TGTGCGTGTGTGCGCGTATATGTGTGCCCGTGTGCGTGAGTGTATGAGCGTGTATCTGTGTGAGTGTGTGTGCGTCCTGTAAAAGATTTTTGGGCGCGGAATGTCCCCGTCGCCCTCGGCCCATTCCATCCATCACATTCTCTTAAAAAGCGCTTTTATAAGTGTCCTGACTTCGGCGACCTCTAACACTTTCCAAACTTATTTAATACTTCTTTTTAAATCATTTCCATCATTTTTTTTATTTTCCACTTGTCATCTTCAAGTATATAGCTTTTATAAATTAAGGTGAGCTGTATTTTTCTTCTGTTTGTTTGTCTGTTTAACATCTTTTGGTGTTTGTGCAAGATGTTTCTGCGTTTGTGTATTTCTTCCCTTGGGTTAATTTGTGTGTGGGGAAAGGGGTATGTGTGTTTGTGTATGTGTGAATATGGTGTGTTTAAGTGTGTGTGTGTGGAAGGATGTGTTTTTTGTTTGTTTGTTTGTGTGTGTGTATGTGTAGAAGGATGTGTTTTTTCTTGTTGTTTGTTTGTTTGTTTGTTTGTGTGTGTGTGTGTGAAAAGATGTGTTTGTGTATGTGTGTGTGTGTGTGTATGAACGTTAGATATGCTAACGAATACCAAAAGAAACCGATATTGAAATTTAAAAACAAAATAGATAAATAAATGAAATAAAAATAGAATATATAAACACGAAGAAATGTATAGAAACAGCTACTTAACAAACTATGGAACACAAAATTCGAAATCTAATTATTGCAACTGATTTAAGATATAGCGAGCTTGACTGACGAAAATTAAGATGTCGCTATACGGGGAAACTATAAAAAAAAATAATAATAATAAAATAAACGACGGTATTGAAACGGACAGCGTAAATAGGGAATTAATTAGTGACATATTCATATCCGTCAATTCTAAATTATAGGATTTTTATTCTTATTCTGAAATTCGCTGCGTGGAATTTCGAATAACAACGATAATGACGATGATATTGAGAATAATGATTAAAATGATAATGAGGATGAGGTGTGATGATGATAATGATGATGATGGTGATGATGATGATAAAGATGATAATGATGATGATAATGATAATAATAATATAAATGATGATGATGACAATAATAATGATATTGCTTACAACAAAACAACAGCAACAAAAATAATGATTATAATAATATATGATAATAATAATAATAAGAAGAAGAAGAACAATAAAGATAAAATAAAGTGACGTCTTTAATGAAATTAGCAGTAATTGGTGTATTAAACCAAATAATCGACCCTTGGCAACCCTACAAAATACAAGAAAAAAGGCAAATGAAATAAATCCAAACACATAAGATAAGGAAACCATACCAAATAAATTACAAAAAACAGTAAAAGACACAAAACGAGCGAGAGGTCTTTCGGATAAATTATTCAGCCACAAAGACGAGAATGAAAAGTTGGATAAGACTTCGGAACGCGGGTTAATGGGACGCCAAAAGACCATTTGGCATTATTATTATTATAGACGTTATTATATTATTATTTATTTATTATTTATTTATTTTTTTTTATTTATTTATTTTATTTATTATTATTTTATTTATTTATATTATTATTATTATTATATATATTATTATTATTATTATTATTCATTATTATATTATTATTTTATTATTATTATTATTATTATTATTATTGTTATTATAGACATTATTATAGACGGATTATTTTCAGAATTTGGACCTAGGTGTTTTGTAAGAATAAATAAGGCAGTTGATTGCATAGGAGAAGTAAAGACACTAATAAGGGAGCAGTTGATGAAATGATGATACTGACAAGGAAGTGTGATGGTGATAAGGATGATGGTGATGATGATTATGATGGTGATGATGAATGATGGTGTTGGTGATGAATATAATGAATGATGATGATGGAGGTGGTGGTGATGATGGTAATGATGATAATGATGATGGCGATGATGATGGAGGTGGTATGGTGAAGATGGTAATAATGATAATGATGATGATAATGGAAGTGGTGGTGGTGGTTATGGTAATGATGATAATGATGATATAGTAGTGGTAGTAATATTAATAAGGATAATAAGTCTGCCAAATAGTCATGTGGTTTAATAGCATTGCTAAAGATTTGAATATCTAAGTTGTATGTTGTGCCCGGAAAGGACATATTAGCATATGAGTATCGAAGCTTCAAAAATAATCATTGAGGACAAGGGCCTAGGATACAATTTCACACGAAGAAGATCAAGACATACAATATATATTTTTTTTTCTTCTTCTTCTTCTTTTCTTTTTTTCTTTTTTTCTTTTTTTTTTCTTTTTCTTTCTTTTTTTGAATCCGCACCCAAGGAGTTGATAGATTTGTACCCAAAGAAGAGACAAATATCGGTTCAAAGAAAAGTGCAAAAGGGCGACAGAACCCAAACAGCCCTCGTGGACAAGGTACAGGAGACATAAAGCACAATCATTATGTTCAAAATAAAGAGAATTTTATATAAGCTGGTCATAAAAGAGATGAAAAGGAGAATTGTACCAATCAGTCAAACCTTTTCTTCGCCACATACATATTTGAAAAACGAAGATTAAATTGTTACAATTAAAGATAAGTACGTTCTCTATACCACAGAAAAATATTCGTGATCCCAGAATGGTGAATTTCACACATTTTTCGCCTGAAAATATTAAGAATTAACTAAAGGGACAAGACAGCATAAAAACGGACCGGATGATAAATTAAATTGATTTCTTTGAGAATAGGCGGAAGAAGAACCTATCAAAGAAGCTATCAAAGGCCGAACTCTCCAGCAAATTGTTAGTAAAGATAACAGCAAAACACTGAGACGAACTACTGGATAAGGACAAAGCGATACCACACAAGCAAACCGAATTTGAGACAAGACCGTGGGTGTTGAGTCGCGGCTTCTACGGCACTGCTGAAATACGTTGAGCCGGGCAAATTGGCTTCAACGAAGCATTTGACAAAGTGTCCCATAACAGACTGAAACTGAAGCAGGAATACATGGATGGAGTTGAAGGAAAACTCCTCGAGTGAATTAAGGAGACAGTAACAACAAAGAAATTTTTTACCTAGAGACAAGTAATAGGTAGACTACCACTGCCTGGTACAGTACTGTGTTCGTCATTTCATTCAGTAATCTGGGATTCAGCATTTTTCCGTATATGTTTAAAGACGATGTAAAAATCCAAAGCAAAAAGGAGGATTGATGCCAGTCTTCACAAGATATATCGAAAGTTTTTTGTTCAAGTTAGTTGGAATGAAATGCCAATAT